TTTATATTTTATATTTTTACTATGAACTTGAACGAATTTTGAATTTATATCTTGTAATGTCTGATTTCACATGTATTTATTGTAATGTAATTTTTTTTAATCAATTTGTAAAAAGTCACACAATTCAGCCTTCGGGCTGCGAGATGATTTTCAATAAAACAAACCATTTTATTATCAGGTGGGCTGTATAGCGTACAGACCACCTTATAATTTAGTTAGAATTGCATTTATTATTATTTATTTATTCTTTATTTTTCTTATTTCTAACCACTTTTTTGTGGACAAGATAACTTGAAAATGGCTCGATCAAATGCCTTGAAATTTGGCACACATATGTATAGGCATATGTACAAAGCACAATAACGTTTTCAACATTGACCTTCACTGATGACGTCATCTAGGCGCCATTTTGTAAAATTTTACGAAAATCAACTCATGATCATATCTTCATAACCAAAAGCTATTTCTCATTCATATTTATTACGATCAAGGTCAATATCCGTCCGGTCAATTTCAGGTCAAAAAACGCGCGCGTGCGCGAACGTCCGCGCGTCAATGCGCGCGCAAAATTTTCAAATGCTCAAAATCGTCTCAAAATCATTTCGCATACGTTTTAGGCCATTCTAAGCATTTTATTAAAAAATCGCGTTTTCGCGCGCAAAGCTATTACGCAACATAGAATCGCCAAAAAAAAATTTCTTTCATAATATTCCACATTTATTTACAATTAAATTGATACCATGTTTGTCTCTTTATGACTATTAATAATGGAATGATCGACCGTTTAACACAAGTTTCCGTGCGCGCGAGCTCTTGTAATACATAGGATATATGGGCAAAAACATGCCTAGATATAAAATCCATTGTAGCTCTTTAGGATGCAAGGTGACCCCAATTTTTTTTTCATATTTTAATAGAGTATGATTTGGAGATATTTTTCATGTCTCATTTGACCCTCAATTAACTCATGACGTCATCATAATGGCCTCCGAAATCAAAATTCAAATTTGCATATTATGACGTTAGCATATTTATGGAAAATTGATTGTATCTCTGTAAATATTGATCGATTTTCTTCCAAATTTTGATATGTTATAGCTGAGACAATTTTTTACAAATGCAATTCCTATTATTCTTCATTTTGACAAAAGCATTATGGCGTATTTTTGCGATTAAAGGAGGCATGTTAATTTTTCACATTTTGTATTCTCCATGGGACATGACTTTTTCTCAAAACACGATTCTACATTCCCGTCTTTCGCGAGCAATATCTTCTTTGTTTTAGCTTCATTTACGCTGAACTTCGAGTATGTTGTAGCTGAGACAATAGGATATCTCAAATGTTCCCTTTATTTTGTCTCGATTTTTTGTTAGATCAGCCCACCTATACTTGTTCCAAACAAGTATTACATATCTAGTTTATTTTTCTTATTTCTAACCACTTTTTTGTGGACAAGATAACGTGAAAATGGCTCAATCAAATGCCTTCAAATTTGGCACACATATGTTACCTGGCAGTCCTTTCTCACTGAACTGACATCAATAACAAGAGGACATGGATCTCGTTTTAGGACATTCAACTGCAGTAGTCAGACCTATGCTTCTTCCTTCTTCCCAAGAACCTGCAAGGACTGGAACAACCTTCCACAGGACCCAGCCCAATACCACTCTCTTGACGCCTTCAAGGTCTTGACGCCTTGAGTGAGATGCAGATGTAATGTCTACAAGACTGGGAATGTTTTTTTTACTTACACATGTATATATGCACCTGCACAACAAGAACAACAAGTTAAAATGTGGAATAACAGGACATGTGAAAGTCTCCACATATACACACAAAACCAGTGCGATTATCTTCATCACCATGAAGCGGCACTTAACTGGAAGAAGAAGAGGCATATGTACAAAGCACAATAACGTTTTTAACATTGACCTTCACTGATGACGTCATCTAGGCGCCATTTTGTAAATTTTTACGAAAATCAACACATGGTTATATCTTCATAACCAAAGGTTATTTCTCATTCATATTTATTATGATCAAGGTCAATATCCGTCCGGTAAATTGCAGGTCAAATAACGCGCACGTGCGCGTATGTCCGCGCGTCAATGCGCGCGCAAAATTTTAAAATGCTCAAAATCGTCTCAAAAACATTTTGCATATGTTTAAGGCCATTCTAAGCATTTTATGAAAAATCGCGCACACGCGCATGCGCGCGCGTTTTTGCGCGTAAAACTATTACACAACATAGAATCGCCATTTTTTTTCTTTCAAATTATTCCACATATTTTTACAAACAAATTGATACCATGTTTGTCTCTTTATGACTATTAATAACGGAATGATCGACCGTTTAACGTAAATTTCCGTGCGCGCGAGCTCTTGTAATACATAGCATATAAGGGCAAAAACATGCCTATACAAAATCCATCGTAGCTCTTTAGGATGTAAAGTGACCCCAATTCTTTTTCATATTTTGATTGAGTATGAATTGGAGATATGATTGCGTGTCTTTTTTGACCCTCAATTAACTCATGAGGTCATTATATTGGCCTCCAAACTCAAAATTTTAATTTGCATATTATGACATCAGCATATTTTTAGAAAATTGATTGTATCTCTGTAAATCTTGATCGGTTTTCTTCCAAATTTCGATATATTCTAGCTGAGACAACTTTCTACAAATGCAGTGTATAACATTTTTCATTTTGACAAATAAATCAAGGCGTATTTTTGCGATTAAAGGAGGCATGTCAATTTTTCACTTTTTGCGTGTATTCTCTATGGGACATGATTTTTTCTCAAAACTGGATTCTACATTTCCGTCCTTCGCGAGCAATATCCCCGTCGTTTAAGCTTCGTTTACGCTGAACTCTGAGTATGTTGTAGCTGAGACAATTAGCTATCTCAAATGTGCCCTTCATTTTCTCTCATATTTTAGTTGGACTAGCCCACCTATACTTGTTCCAAACAAGTATTACAAATCTAGTTATTATTATTTTAAGTAAAAAGGAGCACCTCTTACCTGAAAAGGGGCACCTGTAAGAAGGAAAAAGAGGGTATTTATTACAAAGGAAAGTGGGGCACCTATTAAGATAAGAATAGGGAAACTTATCAAAGGGCACTTATGAAAAGGGGAAGGGGCACTCATTAGAAAGAAAAAGGGGACACTTTTGGGGTACTCGAAAAAGAGGGGGAGGAACTGTGCCTCAGCGTGTGTCATAGAGCGTAGATATACTTGGAGAGTGTTCCAAAGTTTTGGGTCAGTGCTTTATCACAAAAGGTTTTTTTTTGCTCTAGGATTGATGGTGAGAAGGTGTTGTAAGATGGCCATGGTGGGATGTAAGGTAGGAATAGGGATATCGGACAAAGGTTTTAAAAAAGATTTGAGATAAAATTGTTTAAAATTCCCATAAAAGGGAACCGACCTGATTTGGGGTTCTGTTTTGGAAGCTCTGGTAGATACGGTCAGGTCGACAACCTGTTTAGGATGACCTAGAGGCTGTTCACACCGCAATGAGATAGCGCGGTCTATCGGAGCACCCCTTTTTTCTAGCGCGCTAGACCGCGCTATCTCTCGTGGACCACCCCAAGAGGTGCTCCAGTGGCACTCCGTTTTGGCTCGCCGTGGCTCGCTGTTGGGCGGACCGAAACGACGTTGTACCTTCCACACCGCAGAGATAGCGCGCGCTATCTCCGCCGGTGTGAACAGCCTCCTAGATGGCCTGTAACTTAAGTGGCTAAAGAGATTGTTAAGAAAACTATACATGTTTTTGCCAAGCACCTTTGTCATATTTTTAATGAGTCTTTTTATTTCAGGACAACTTCCGGATCAATTAAAGTTAGTAAAAGTAATACCCCTTCATAAGAATCTCTGTAAAGAAAACAACAGAATATTATAGACCTATTTCTATCTTGCCAATCTGTTCAAATTTTTTAGAAAAATTGGTGTACAAACGTGCTATTTTATATGCTAAATAATTCGGATTTCGTAAAAAAACACTCAACATCCACGGCTCTAATTGAATGTTTAAGTCTCTAACTCATGCATTGGAAAATAAGCTAATTCCTGCTGGTACATTCCTTGATTTATCTAAAGCATTTGACTGTATTAACCATTCTATACTGTTACAAAAGCTATCGTTTTATGGCTTACGGGGTACTCCTCTCAAATGGATCAAAAATGACCTTTTGAATAGGAACCGGGTTTGTTAAATTTAATAGTGTTTGTTATCAATCACAGATCCTTTCAACAAGAGTACCCCAAGGCAGTGTTCTTGCTCCTTCATTGTTTTTGTTGTTTATAAATGATCTACACTTTGTATCAGACCAGCTAAATTAGTTTTATTTGCTGATGACACCAATATATTTAATTTCATATTGTTTTCAGGGAAAACTATGCAATATTTATGAAAGTTTAAACCGAGAACTGAGTAGAGTTTGCAAATGGTTCACTGCTAATAAACTCGTTGTTAATATGTAGGAAAAACTAATTATATGGTATTCAGGAGAAGAAAGGTAGCAGGTGACTTTAATGAATTGAATATAAAATTTGATGTGTTGCTCAACAGAGTTAATTCAACTAAATTTTTAGGAGTTAATATAGATGAGTCACTTTCTTGTAAAAGTCATGATTTGCATATAAATATATATATATATCTTTTGTATGTGTTTATTGTTTTTTTTAAAGTTTATTTCTGTATTTTAATATTGTAATTTTAAGCAGGGGATGATCCCCGATAAACCTTTGTGGTTTTCGATCACCCCCTCTGCAGGTTTATATTTTGTTCTAATGCTTTTCAATTTGATTTAAATTATATTGTCTTTTCATGAATCTGTGGAAATTAATGAAATTGAAAGTGCAATATGATGAGTCTTATCTACCAATTTCTAGTTAAAGAAGTGATCAGAATCATCTTGAGATACAAAAGTTATTTTTCCACTCTTTTTTAAAATTAATTTATTTATTTATTGTCTTAATTCTATTTTTTTTAAACAGATTATTCAGCAACATATCTTGAGGTAGGCGAATCATATTTCATCAACATGTATTCCTACGAACGACTATACAATGTAACCTTGCTACAAACAAACGCTATGAAAGGATTTCGAGTTTTTTTCCAAGATTTTCTACTCTATTCTGATGCTGAAGTCAAAATAGGGACAGGTAACGATCCGTCTGACAATCAGTCTGTCATCACAACTATCCACGGAAGTGTACCTTACGCTTATGATGTCTATGTAGATACCAATGAGATGTGGTTTGTTGCCAAAGGAGGAAAGGATAAATCCCCTGTTGTATTGGATGTTGAGATCATTTCCATTAAGCTATCAGGTGAGTGTGTGCTAATTCTTGATTTAACTTATTTGAATATAATTTGTGTTGGATATCACTGCATCGCTCAATGTTCTTCATAATCTAGTTACACCAACAATACGACCGAATCTAGACCGACTAGGGACCAAGCAAATAATTACATCTTTATGATTATCCCAAATGGCCAATGAAATTGATGGTATGGAGTAGGTTTGAGGATAATACGACAAACATGTTACATGAAGATACACAATGTCTCCTAATGAACCAGTAGTCAAGTCAAAGAAAACCTAGTGTAATAAATGGTGAAAATGGTGAAAGCATTATGAGCTTCCAATATTTTCCATTTTCCATCTTCTACCAGCCTTTTTTTATTGTTCGAGCTCCAACATGAGCGTGTCACCAACTGTCCTGTGCGACGGGCTTTACCAATGTGATCATTACGAGGATGAATCAGCATGCGGTAAGTCAAAGAACAACTGATCATACATTTCCGATGTGCAAAACATATTTTCTTTTTACTCAGCTTTCGTGGAAGGGGGCTTTTCGGGCAAAATTATCCGACAAAATGCACAATATTTCACAACAAGCCGCCCCCCCCCAAAAAAAAAAATCTTTCTTATACAGAAAATATATAAATGTTTCCTAATTATAAAGTTTCAGCAAAAGTATACATTTGGTAGAATTAATAAATACCTTTTTAATAATATATTTTATTTCCCCCGCTGTTTTTGTCCTCTTGTCGGGTTTAGTGACCCCCCCCCCCGAACCACTGCAACATACCATAACAAGTCGGTCTTATGCGCAATTCAAATGTCTGCATATGAGGACAGGCCAGTCTTTATTTTTGTGACGAACAGACATTGTTTCGTAACACAATTGTGTCGATATGACTTAAGAAGGAAAATTCCACCATTTTTAAAGGGTCGTCTGACATTACGCAATCCCGGTAAATATTACGTCACTCATTATGTTTTGTAATGTCCAGTCATAATTCCTACTAAAGAAATTTCCTGCATGGGGTTGGGGTGAAACCGACTTGACTTTGAGCTATACGGGAGTAAATCCGACAGATAAAATACAGAAAAAGTGCATCACTCATAAAACATGTTTATATAAAAATATTACATTAAAATGTGATACGATAGAATGGATACGAATTGCTTCTCAGAGTGCATTTACAATGGTATGGTGTTTACATCGCCTCTTGAATGAAATTAAAGATGACATTGCATGTAAATCAGGCGGTAAGGTGTTAAAAATGAATGAACCTTGGTACTGGAGGGATCTTTGGAAATTGTCGCTCCTCGGGGTTTTTTTTTTTTAAAGAGTAGAGGGTGAGCAGCGTATCTTGTATCAATAGAAACATTTCTCGGAATGACTATCTATTTCAGATACAAAGGCAAGAGATCAATTTCGATTAAAGGCCACATGTCAGATTTTTCTTAATTTTCGTGCTATGCCTACGGAAGGTGAATTTCGTGCACAATATGAATCTACGTGACATTGTTTTTATAGCAGTATCTCGCTTATTTTTGCTCTATTTTGTCTCATATTTTTAGTTGGAACAGCCCATCTATACTTGTTTCAAACAAGTATTACATGGCTAGTCAGGTGGCCTGTATATAATACCTCAAAAATAGTGATCTGTCAAATTATGACAGGTTCAGTGACCCAATCAAAATTTTATATCAAGTGCCTCTCCAAGTTCCTCGGTCTTGAGCCATCCGTTTCAGCGTTTCATACCCTAATGCTCCACATTCTGTGATTACATCGTCTATGAAACTTTACAAGGACTTTCCCTATTCTTCTTTCCATGAATACGACCTTTTATGACTCTGAGCATCAAGCCCTCATCATGCCGCATTATGTGTCCAAGCCATTTCGTCTGTCTCTCTCTCTAATCGTTTGAATCAGGACCCGCTTTTCTTGAGCCCAATGCAGCACCTCTTCATTCGAAACTCTGTCCATCCAAGTCACAGCTAGTAATTTGCGCCAGCACCACATTTCGACCGCCTCCAATCGCTGCATGTCCGTTTTAGTGAGTGTCCACGTCTCCGTCCCATTCTACAGTACACTCCATACTAGAGACTTCACAAGACGCTTTCTCAGACTAAGGTCAATATTGTGGCTCATCAGGATAGCTTGTCGTTGAATGAAGGCAGCTCTTGCCAGAGCTGAGCGCAAGTTCACCTCTTCTGCATAGATATTGAAGAGAAGAGGAGACAGAAGGCACCCCTGACGTGTTCCACGTCCAATGACGGCTGGTTCAGAGACCCATCTCCAACGCGAACGCTAGCAGTCTGAGATATGTACAAGGATGCAAGCAGTCTACGTTCTTTCCAGCCAACACCAATAGCTGACAGCACCTCCATCAACCTAGTCCAATTGGCACGATCAAATGCCTTTTCGTAGTCCACAAAACAGATATAAAGGTCCTGATCATGCTGTATACATCTCTCACTTAGTATTCTCATTACAGCGATTGCTTTTCGAGTACCGACCCCTTTACGACAGCCAAATTGATCAATTCCAATATAATCTTTGGACCTCGCTTCAATCCGATGGTGGAGTACCTTTTAGCAATACTTTTGAAGCATGTGATACCAGGGGAAATGGTGTAGAAAGTGGTGTTCGAAGAGAACGATTCTGAGGCTTGTTTTAAGTTCTCTATATTAGTAGATCTTCTCCCACGTTGCCTTTTTGCAGGATTCCTGTTTTGCACAGTTTGATCTTTCCATGATTAGCTTTTGAAAAAAGGCGCGAAATTCGATTGGCGTATCGTGCAGCTAATTATAATGAAATGCTGAAAAGTGTTTGAAAAGCCCAGTGTTCGCTTACCTTACGAGAAATTCCTATTCCAAAAGTGGTCACATAAATCCAAAACAAAAAACTTCTAAAAGAACAACCCAATTTCCATATGAGAAACAAAGTCAAAGATATAATCCAAGAGTAAGGCGAGAGTGCGACCTATCCGGGTAGCATATGGTGGCATATGTATGGTAGGTATATGGACAAACCACAGCAAGGTTTTCAACCTTGACCTTGACTGATAACGTCATTTAGTCGCCATTTTGTGAAATTTTCTGATAATGAACTCATGACCATATTTTCATAACGAGTCATCAAAACTGAACCAGATGTGTAACACATGAACTTAAGGTCAAGGTTCAACAAAATATGTCATTAAAATCCGCGCGCACACCATGACGCGCACGTACGCGCCCGTCAAATTTTTGAAATGCTCAAAATCATCTCAAATTCATTTTGCATATGTTTCAGGCCATTTTGAGCGTTTTATAAAAAATCGCGCACACGCGCATGCGCGCGCGTTTTTATTCGCTTTGGCCTTATGCAACATGGAATCCAATTTTTTTTTCTTTCATGATATTCCACATTTTTTTTACACACAATTTGATACCAATTTTATCTCTTTATGACTATTAATATAGAAATGAGCGTCCGTTTAAAATAAATGTCCGTGCGCGCGAGTTCATGTTATAAATAGCATATATGAGCAAAAACATGCTCATACAAAATCCTTATAGCTCTTTGGGAATCACCCGGACCCCCATTATTTTCTTCATATTTTGATAGAATATGAGTCGGAGATATGATATCATGTCTCATTTTGCCATTAAATATATTGTGACGTCATCATAATGGTCTTGGAACTAAAAAAAAACGAATTTGCATTTTATGACGTCAGCATATTTATGGAAAATTGATTGTATCTTTGTAAATGTTGATCGATTTTCTTCCAAATTTCGATATGTCGTAGCTAAGACAATTCTTTACATGCTCTGACAAAACTTTTGTTAATTTTGATGACGTCTTCATGGTGAAAATTTTGATAAAAGGCCACATGTCAGATATTTTTTTAATTTACATGTTATACCTCAAGAAGGTTAATTTCGTTCACTACATGAATCTACATGCAAAGTTTTTTTTAGCAGTATCTCGCTTATTTTTGGTCAATTTTGTCTCAAAATTTAGTTGGATCAGCCCACCTATACTTGTTCCAAACAAGTATTACATGTCTAGTTATTATTGTCTCACTAATTTCTGGCCCGTCCTGCATTTTCTTCCGAAATTTTATCCTCCTTTCCCTCACTCAATCCATAACCTCCCTTCTTCCATATTCCACTCTACCTCTCTCTACTTCCTCCTATACCCGCTCTCCTTTACCACTCCTTTACCCCTCCCCTTTCCCCTCTCGTTTACACTCTCTTCACCCTCTCTCTCTCTCTTTCTCTCTCTCTCTTCGCTCCTATCTTCTTTTATCTCCTCCCCGTAATCCCAATCATCCTTTTCCCCACTCTCTATAAACTCGTGCTTCCCCCGGCTTGGTCACCCCGTCTTCTCCCTCTCGGCAAGCTCGTAGCTAGGATTTATTTAAGGGGGCGGTAGTGAGCACGCGAATAACTTACAGAGCGCCAAAGCGCGCTTCCTAGGGGTGGGGGTGGGGGGGTGGGTGGGGGGGGGTGACGTTTCATTAAATTATTAGAGAAACTGGAGTCGATTTGTTGTACCGTTCTCGACTCTTAATCCTTGTCTGAATTCAATCCCTTCCCCTTCCTCCCCCTGCCGCGCGGAACGCGTAAGCTTTGATGTTTCATTAGATTATTAGAGAAAAAAGACGATTCGTTGTACCGTTCTCGACTATTCATCCTTGTTTGAATTTTTAAAAAGTGTTTTTTGCTGCTCCTTTTTTTCTTTCTACGTACTGTTACTGTTGTCTCTTCTCTCGCTTTCTTTTTACTTCTCTTCTCTCTCTTTCTTTTTATTTCTTCTCTTCTCTCTCTTTCTTTTTGCCTTCTTCTCTTCTCTCTCTCTTTGTTTTTGGTCGACGTTTTGGGGGCGTGCAACCGCCCCACCGCCCTGACTACGCGCCTGCCTCTCGATCCAAGTCCTGTCTAATCGCCTCCACCTCTCTCTCTCCCTTCTCTATGTCTGATCAATCCTGCAGCTAGTACTTCGTCCTTCATTTCCCCCTTTTCTTTGGCTCCACATCCTGCTTATCCCCTTACTTATGTAAATCCATTCCCCTTTTCACCTTTCCCCATCTTTCCCTCACAACTCTTTGCTTTCATTTTGCCCCCTCTATGTCCCCTTTTTTCTTCTGCCCCTTCTTCCTTCCACCTCCTTTCACGTACTCTCCTCATTTTCTCAACTACCCTCTTCCTCCTCTTCCCCCTTCCTCTTCACCCCAAATGCAGCTACTATAGGACAACTTGAACCACTGAATTTACAGTCGGAACAGCTCGATCTCGTTTCCCTTCCTTGCCAGTCCTCCATTTTCTCGTCCTTTCTTCATTCCTATATCCACTCTGTTCCCCCATGTTTTCTTACTCCCTCAAACCCACCTTCTATCTCTCTTCCCTCCTCTGTTGCAACCATTTGTTGGGGTTTAATTCCCATACATTAAATTAATCTACCATTTATTGCCCCCCCCCCCCCCAGTTGTGAAATAGCCTCCCGTCCTACATCCAAAATGCTCCATCTATATCCACGTTCAAAGTAATGTTAAAAACCCATCTGCTCAAATCCATATCATGAATCGTGTCTTCTCTAAACATGTCAAATAAATAAATGATGTCGTACTATTATTTGTTATGAAATAAGTCATTAGTTAAGTTAACTTGATTCATTCATTTATCTGTAACAAACTGTAATTTTGTAACGTAACATAGCGTAACATACTGTAATTTTGTACTGAATAATATTGTGTAATCGTGGTGCTGTCGTCCCGGCTTTTATTTCGTGTAAGGACATTGCTTCACTTAATGGCTGCTGGGACAACAGCACAACAGCGCCTAGAAACAATGTATTAAGCGCGTTATAAATGTGATCTATTATTATTATTATTATTATAAATATCTTTTCTTACAGATTACTCATCAACATATCTTGAGGAAGGCGAATCTTATTTTATCTACAAACCGATCTCCACCTTTAACAGCCGATCGTACAAGGTAACCTTGCTACAAACAAACGCTATGAAAGGATTTCGAGTTGTGTACCAACATTCGTCTTACTACTTTCATGGTAAGGCGATGTTAGGGACCGGTAACGACCCATCTGATAGTCAGTCTGTCATCACCATTTTCAACAAAGATACAAATTACGATCAGGATGTCTATGTAAATACCAATGAGATGTGGTTTGCTGTCATAGGAACGAAGAGTACCCTCTCGCGGTTTGACATTGATGTTGAGATCATTTCCATTGACCTATCAAGTAAGTGTGTGATTATACTTGATTTGTTTTATTTGAATATAATTTATGTTGGATATCACTGCATCGCTCAATGTACTTCATAATCTAGTTACACCAACAATAAGACCGACTCCATACCGACTAGGGACCAAACAAATAATTATTTCGTTACGATTTTCCTCAATGGCCAATGAAATTCGAAGTACGGAGTCGGTTTTAGGATAATACGACAAACAGGTTATATGACGATACGCAATGTCCTCTATTGAAGCAGTAGCCAAAGAAAACTTAGTGTAATAAATGGTGATAGTATTATATTTTCCCTTTTCTATCTCCTACCAGCCTTTTTTTATTGTTCGAGCTCCAACATAAGCGTGTCAACAACTGTCCTGTGCGATGGACTTTACCACTGCGATCATTTCGAGGATGAATCGGCATGCAGTAAGTCAAAGAACAACTGATAATATATTTCCCAAGTGCAAAACATATGTTCATCTGATTCAGATTTCTCATTGCCTTTACGATTACCTTAAAGCAGTTATTAGGTGATCTGCCGCGGAACGTAGCAGTCTAGCAGAGAACCTATTGATTTCGTTTGATAGAAACTATCTTCTTTTTTTGATTTTGTAAGAATCTCCCCCTTTCTTATTGTATGAATTTTGTTCGCTTAATATCTCATGAATGACATGGTTAATGACAATGAAATTTTCATTATAATTAATGTGCCATTTGCATGATTATTGATCCTAAAGAAGATTTTTTTTTTTTGTATTACTGATGCGTGACGTCGTCTAGGTGCTTTTTTGTTAATTTCTATCGTTGACCATATTTCTGTCATACATTGTCATTTCTGAATAATATTTGATATGCATAAACTTGCATAAATATTTGGTCACATGCTTGTCTGTGCGCGCGTAATGGCGGACGCGGGCACTTTACTCTCTCGCAAATTACATAAATCGCTACAGTTGACAAACTCCTAGTCGTATAGTAGTAGCAAAATTTCAAGTAGCGAGTTAGATCGCTACGCTCTCCTATATAAGAGCGAAATTCAAATAGCGAGTTAGATCGCTTCAGTTGGCGCTCTCCTATAGTACTAGTAGTAGCAAAATTCAAATAGCGAGTTTAGATCGCTACGGCTGCTACGCTCTCCTACTATAAGAGCGAAATTCAGTAGTCCGGTAGAAGTTTTTCAGACCTGGACAAGTTTTTAAGTACAAGGTTTTTTTGTTGATTCGTGTTTTAGATGGGTATTGAAGTAAATTCAGCTTGGTTGCCACCTTGGCAACCTCGGGCTACTTTTGTTTATTTATAGCATAATGATGTAATTAGCATATTTGCAATACGTGATATGTTGCTAATCGTAATCCAGGAAGCCTGAACACATGGATCATATGACTTTTCAAGGGTTTTCTATGACGTGGAATTTATTTATGACACCAGTTTTTTTTTTTTTTTAGTAAATTGCAAATAATTAGCATATGTACAATGTATGGAGTTCTTTGCCATTGTTTATCTGAAAAGCCTGAAAATGGTGCAATGCAACATGGTAAATCACTTTTTAAAGACAACACATTAATTTATGAGAAGATATTCCATGTAGATGTAATATAATTAGCCTAATTAACATAATTAGTGAATTTGAATACTTGCATTTATTGATATAGGTCTAGTCTAGCCAGAAAGATCAAGGGGTGATCATTTCAATATGTATTTTTTTTTAATGACAACCAATGTTCATCTCAGAAGTCGGTCATGTTGAAACGTAAAATAATTAGCCTTACTAGCATAGTTAACCAAATTAGCATATTAATCAGGCAATTGCCTGATGGCCTTGTGAATTTCTGTCCAACGAGTAAGAATACAAAGGTATTCTTTTTAAGTTTCCCACTAAACAGTCATGACAGAGACCAGTAAATTAACTGAAAAATGGTTACTGTGGTAAAGTATATTTGTGACCCAACACCACAAAACCACCAAAAAGTCGCAAAAAATTATTTTCCTGATTTCATCTGATTATGAAAGAAGTAGTTCTCCTCATTAAAATGGTATATTACTTGTCCAAATTGAAGCTTCCTAACCCTTTCAATTTAGTGAATGAAAAGAGCTGGTGAGGGAGGTTACTGGTATTAAATTGTGAGAAAGAGAGCTTTAAAGTTTGGGGCTATTCAAGCAAGCAAACCACAGGGAAATCAATAGAAGGGTGAATCAAAAGGCCATAGCAACCACTATGAAGAGATTTTCAGATTAGGCTAAAATTTGGCCTGATGGTCAAACATAGTCTGTTCATTATGTTTCTGAGGTTTCAATGTGTGGACTTAAGTCTTTCAAAAGTTATTATGTTGTAAATGTATAGAGTTGTAATTGGACAGATTAAGTGAACTGCAACATAGTGCCGAGACACCTGCACTAGACAATGCCTATTCATGGTGGACCCGGAGTCTTTTTGTTCCCCCTTACATAACACTGCTTGTCACCTATCTTGTTTTGTATACATCTGGGCAATTATTTGTAACCACATTATGAACTTGCTTTATACTTAATTCCCATACTGTTTTCTTTCTCACAGGAGGTTCAAAGTATTTTTACTATGACTTGCTCTTTCATTTCCATTTTCATTTCGTTGACCGCCCGAGCTACCCGGGCATCTGCGTTGGTGCACCCCGGTACCATCCCACGGCTCTGCTCACGTACAAAACCTGGCATTGTAACGACGTTGTAGACTTTTTCGCAACTTGTCACTCTCAAATGTATAAAATATAATAATGTTCTTACTCATGATCAACAAATTCTGGATATGTGATGTACAATCAAGCTACTCGAAGTCGTTAACGGAGAATATAAGACGAACGCAAATCTGGAACTCGGATGTGAAAGCGGATACAAACAAAATGGCGCGCCGCACTGATTGCTATAACGGACCAATCACAGCCCGCGTAGCACGACCCGTTAGCAACGACCGACCATTTCCGGACTACGATAATTTCGCTCGGGAAAAGTGATCAAATTTTGGAAAAGACCGAAGGCTGTACGAAAAAAACTGGTCTAGAAAAACCGTTTAAAACACATCTTCTACTATGTTTTAGACTTCCAAATTTTGATACTAGGTACAGAAAAGACCACTCTTTCAGAAAATGCAAAAAAACAAAAATCTATTTTTTTCACCTAAATTGACATTTTAGCTGATTACGGAGAATCGCTGGTTGCGACTTTTTGTTGGTTTTGTGGTGCCGGGTCACATTTAGTATGTTGATCATTTTTTCTTTTTTACTTCTTTGAGTTTAGGTATTGGACACAGAATAAGAAGTCCTTGTTGCTGTTATAGATGGACATATATTGGTACTTTCGATCTAACAGTGCTTATACTAAGATGCATAGATGATGAATTACAAAGTAACAATCCTTGCCTATTTATTTAACAAATTACCTGATTAATATGCTAATTAGGTTAATTATGCTAGTAAGGCTAATCATTTTTCATTTCAACATGAGGGACCTGTGAGATATTAGTTTTCATAACAAATATACACATAAAATTACCATTCCAGATTTTTCTGGCTAAACCCGACCTATATCAATAAATGCAAATATTCATATTTACTAATTATGTTAATTAGGCTAATTATAGTACTTCTCATGAGTTAATGTGTTGTCTTTAAAAGTTGATTTACAATGTTGAATTGCACCATTTTTAGGCTTTCCAGATAAAAAAATGACAATAAAGTACTTATATTTATACATGCAGTGGCGGATCCAGAGGGGGGGGGGGGGGGGGGGGGGGGGGGCTGGCCCCCCCCCTTCTCCCAGGGAAAAAAACATGTAAAAAAACACGTGATTTTTACCTTTTTGGGGGTTTGGACCCCCCCCCCCCCCCTGGCGCTCAAGGGAGGGGTGCAAATTTTCGATGGCCAAAAAAACAAAATAATATAATCAATACCCCCCCCCCCCCTACTGAGCGATTTTTCGGTCGGCGCCGTTTTTCAAATTTTCCGGTGCAAAAAAAAAAAAAAAGTTGGGCCCCCCTCCCCTAAGAAATCCTGGATCCGCGCCTGAGTACATGCACTGTAATGTAATTAGCTCATTATGTTTATTATGCTATTTAAGACGATTGCAATACTTACAATTAAAAAATAGTGTCATAAATGAATTCCTCGTCATAGTCATACTACCAATATTTTCAGGCTTCCTGGATTAAGATTAGTATCATATTACACATTGCACATATATGCTAACTAAAAAAAGTTGCCCAAGGTTGCCAAGGTGGCAACCAAACTAATTTTACTTCAATTTAAAAAAAATTTAGAACACGAATCAACAAAAAATTCTTGTACTTAACAACTTTTCCAGGGGGATGTTTCACAAAGATCCTAAGTTGAACTTATCTCTAAGTTGGACTTAAAAAATATGGAAAGCCATTAGCATCTTTGAAAATATTTTGTAAAAGTTATTTTGAAAGGCATTCATTGTTTATTGAAATCATTCATATTTTCTATCATCAAGGAGATTTCATGTTCTGGATGTGGAATTAATAAAAAGTCTAAAATACTTGAATTTCTGCTTTTGAATATATTTCATTTAAAGACTCCAATGGCTGTCCATAATTTTTAAGGCCAACTTAGTGTTAAGTTCGACTTAGGATCTTTGTGAAACACCCCCAGGTCATGTACATGGTATATGGTAACGTCTACTAGACTATAGTGAGTTAGATAGCTACAGTTGGCGCTCTCCTATAAAGTAGTAGCAAAATTCAAATAGCGAGTTATCGCTACGGCCGGTGCGCTCTATTAAAGGCACACTGTTCTACTTGTAGCTACTTGGTGTACCCAATCGGTGCCTGTTGGTCCCCCATGATCCTCTTTTTCTTATGTTAAGTAAGAGCTGAGTTAATGAGATAGCCACCTGTCACAGTGACCTCCCTGGCTCGCTGGGTGATCCAATCAATCCCTTCTGGCTGAAGTAGTAAAGACTGCCTTTAAGAGCAAAATTTAAATAGCGAGTTAGATAGTTACTACTGGGCAATTCCACGGTAACGGAAGGACACTCAGACAAGATATTTGAACTTCAGGTTCATACTAAAAGAACTGTTTTATTAGTATAAGATGTGAAACAGTACAGATATAATACCTATATAAGTGCCTTTAATTCTCCCAAAAAAAATTGTCATTATAGTTAAGTAGTTTAAGAATGTGCATATTAATTATCTCGGTAACAGAAGGACATAAAAATGGACATGGTTTTTCCAGTTAATTAGTGTTTATCCAAACTTTGTGAAGTTGATGAAGCTTTCCACTTGACTGAAACACATTTTGTTCCCCATAGTTTAATACATACTAATAAAACATTTCTTTTAGTATGAACCTGAAGTTCAAAAATCTTGTCTGAGTGTCCTTCCGTTACTGTGGAATTGCCCTACTGGTACTTTACTCTCTCGCAAACATAAA